CTGTTTTGTGAGGTGAAGGACTTTGTGGACTGGTGTTGGGTATGGGTTAATGTTGGACTTGTGGGCTTGGGAAGCATTGGGTTGGGATGTTTTCGTGATGCACGTTTCCTTTACATAAAACTCTCTCTTATACATTGAGTCGCTGTGGATTTGTTTCTCCAAAGTACCTAGACTAATACACTTGGTCCTCCTTGAGTTGGCTTGACCTTGTCTCTGGGCTCTCCTTCAGGAGGACAATCCACCATCCTTATCAGTGGGGAGTGAACCCTACTTAGGGTGGGACAAACTAGAGTCTGATTGCTCTAGATGGCTGATTAACCTCTAAGCAGCTTGCGTTGACCTCCAAGTGGACAGTCATTTACCATGTGTTGCATGCAGCATCTTAGGTTTGGCATATATTTGGGGGACAACCTGGGGAAAACCCTTCTGCATCCCGCAAAAGAGAATATAGTTAGAGTCATACCTTTCCCCATTTGCCAGCTGCATCACGTGGAATGTCTCGAGATTGTTAATTCTCAAGAGTAATGGAATAAGTATACTGTCAACTCATGTCTTAGAGCACTATTCTAAGCATCAAAATGGGCTGTCATAAAAATGACCAGTAACCTAAAAATAAATACACAAGTGTAAAAGATTCCAGAGTAAGTAGGAACTGCACAGGGTCTCAAGAGCTCCCTTCTATCCTAGATACTTGAATGGATAAATGGTAAAAGGCCAGCCAAATTATACTGGTTGGGAGATGGGCCATTTGTGGCCTGGATAATAATCTTCTTGAGGGAAAATTAGGAAAGATAAGTGGATTTCATTGCTGGCAAACAATAGCCTTCTCTGAAAACTACAGAAAGGAAAACACATTCCTGGATAAGATCACTACGAATTAAAAAAATCTTTCGATGTGGGTTAGTTTCAAAGGATCAACAGATCCTGTGCAGTTCCTACTCACTCTGGAATCTTTTATATTTGTTTATTGATTTTTAGGTTACCGGCCAATTGGCCATAAATCAGCATTACTAGTAAAGTTTGTTTTTTGGTTTTTTTGCTGTTTTTTTTTTTTTTTCAGGAAAAATTTTTGTCACCCATGTTTTCTGGCACAACAATTCACAAAAATGAAAATGCTCTGCATACCAAGTTCCACCTGCAGATTGTTATGTCTATACAAACTTTTAACACAGTGCCAAGTATACTGCCAGGATTACAGAAAATTATTACCAAACTATTACTAAGAATCTTTACAGTAA